AAGTAAGTTATGGTTAACCAAATCAAACGCTTTGCTAAAATTAGTGTATATGACATTACTGCGAGAGCCGCTAGAAAAATTCTTGGAAACATGAGAAGTAAGCTCTAACAGATTGGTAACCGTGGATCTTCCTTTTTGAAGCCATGTTGAAATGGAGAAATATACGATTTAATAGCAAAGACCATATGCTGAGTCACAATTCGCTCAAACACTTTAGGCAAGACACTCAACTTGGCAATGCCCCTGTAGTTCTCTACAAGTTGTTTGCACTTTTGTGAATAGGAACAAGGAAACAAATCTTCCAACACAAAGAGGAGGCACTTAAATTCAAGGATTTGTTAAAAATCTTTGAGATAACACCGCATATCTCGCCAGCACAAGATATAAGTACACATGATAGAATTCCATCAGGTCCCGGCGCACAATTATAATTTAGAGAGCTCAACGCTTCAAAAACGTCATTTTCAAAAATACCCAAATGTGGAATTGAAAACAAATTAGTAATCGGATACGGATAGTTTACTGATAAATCAAAATTAGCAATCGAAAAGTTTTGTCGGCCGAACTCCGCAAAGAGAGTTGAGGTTTCAATATCATCTGTGGACTCAGAGCCATTAAAAGGAGCAAGCGAGAGGTTTATGGAGTTTTTTCTTTTTGAACAGCGTATTTTTTCTACTTTCGTAATATCTAATTGTCTTATTAAACCACGGGGGACACCTGCTTCAAAGTCGGCACTGTGTGATCGAAACAGATGCAGCAACAGCTAGATTTAATATATTGTAGAACGATGACAATAAGCTTTCAATATTTTATGGAAATCATAAAATTTATTTGAAAAAATTGAATTTAGAAAGTTCTGGGAGTTCAACGAACGATCACGCTTGTAAAGAAAGGAAATACACATTGCTGGATGATAAGGATCCTCACATAAACTAAAAGGTGGACAAGGATTTACACTAATCTCAGGAAAATTGGCAAAGCAGAGGTCAAGCAGTCTACCATTACAATTAGGGGTACGTTTGTATTGAACTAAATTATGATCAAAAAATTCGTTAAAGAACACAACAGCTGAGGGTGAAGTAGGAATCAAACAGCCACAATTATCACTGTTACACTGTTATGTTTTCCACAGATGTATTGGGTGCCAGTCTTGACATAAATATTGCTTTTCTGGGAGGAACTTCCGTCAAGCAAATGTGTTTGCTACTAGGAGCAGTAGGGTTCACGACTGGGGAGTTTTGAGTTATGAAGAATATAGATGGAGTTACTAAAGGAGCGGCTTGTGCGACATACTCAGTGTGGTAACCACCCTTACACTCGAATAGTCGGGGGGAGAGGATGATTTATAGTGCTCTTTATCAGTTTTAAGCGATGACGCCTGAGTTGAGTGAGTGACGCCACTAGGAGGCGATACTCTTGCCACTTCGGCATAGCTTAAACCAGAAGGACTTACCGGCTTATTTGTAACTTTTTTGTTACAGAGCTACTCAGCCATATCAGAAACGCTGGCCTTCTTTGAGGACATTATAAAAGCGCTTACTTGCACCAACGAATCGGACTTAGGAGGAATTACAAGTGACGTACCATACGCTACGCTACCAGTTGTGATTTTAATAGCTTGGGAAGAATAGGAGTCCGCAATTAAGCGACACTCATAAAACTCAGTCTTAATGATCTGAAACTTTTCCCACAAGGACCCTAGATTTCAATTCAGAGAAACTATTTCTCGTCTCCGTGAACAATTTGTAGAAGTCTATGTCCCGCTTCCTACAGTCAGGCCATGATCATCGTAATCCCTTCGAGATGTCAACGACTGCATCAGCAGCACGGCCAATGATGCCGGCACACTTTGCATGACCAAAGCGATCGCAAAGCCAACACGAAACGAATCTCTCAGATTCCGGGCCCGTTTTCGCCCGACAAGGTGAACACTCCATGTCCAATCTAAAAGGCCGAAGTGGATTATGAAGAACAGAGAGACAAATTGCAAAAAAATCCTCAACACAAAAATTTATCAACCAATTTGAGCAAAACTTCTCTCTTACGTTGACACTGTAACAAGAGATCAAAAGCAAAACAAACTACAAACTCCGAAAAAGTAAGCAGAGAAAAAGAGAGAACACCAAAAATAAAGAGAGATTTATATCAGAGATCAAAATTTTTGTTTGCAAAAATCCAACGAATCAAAGCGGATAGAAAAAAATACTTCTTTTACTTTGAATTCACTCACTTTCTTTTCAAAGTGTATTATAAATTCACACACTATAAGGCAAAATAGCTACAAAATTCAACAAGAAACGATAATATTTATTGCCGAAACAAAATATAGATGACTATACCGCAAAAAAGTATGACTACTTCAATAATAGGAAAAATTTGGGACAAATGTACATACACCTTGGAACATCATTGGAATATATTAATGAAAATTTTAATCTGTTGTTTACGTGATAAAAATAAAATAAAGCTACATTTGAATTTGCCCAAATACCCTGAAGGCAAATAAACATAAGAAAGAAATTCGTAATCAAGAAAAAGGATGCGACCGTTCATCTCAAGCTACTATCGGCTTACAATATCTTTATTTACAGCAATTTCCTAAGATTTTACATAGCTGGAGCACGATTTTATTGGCAAAATTCCGTCGAAATTTCATTTTTCCTTACATTTATATTATATTTCTTTAATCTTTATTGTTATTCCTGGATCCTGCTTAGAAAAGGACAAAAACACACAATGTTGTCATCAATTGCTTATCCTGCACCCACGTTGGATAAATGTCATGCTTTACAAAATAAAATTAGTATGTTAGTTAAAAAATAGTTGATTGATGCGAATTTACAGTGGCTTTCGATTATATAACAATTTTTACATATCTTTTTTTATAAGTTTTATAAATTTTTGTGTGGCTTAGTGTTAGAAAGCAAGGTATTATAGCCAATGTTTAACTGACTTACTGTATATCACGGAGCGAAGAAACTGCAAGAACATCTGTTAATTCTGTTTCCACTTTTGAGACGCTCGATGATTTACCTGGTGATAGGGACAAAATACCGGCTAATTACAGCAGAAATTTCAAATTATTGTAGGGTCTTTGTTCTTAAATTTCAGTGTTTTATATTTAATAATTTCATTAATGTTCAGCAGGAATGCAAATTTCTACTACATATTCAAACTTCTGCTGTGTACTCCGCCGAACTAAGGTCATTACTATACGAAGAAGTTGCTTCTTGTTAGCGATGGTACTGCCAGCTTGTTCTTAGATAAGAACTTTGTTATGTGGTTATTTAGACATGATAATGTTTTCGAGATAGGTTTGTTGTTTTACAAGGTACCCAAGAAATAGAATAAGTATTTTTTGAGATAAGATTTTTGTGCCAACGTGAAATACTATTTCATTGCGCCGGCGTAAATTTGTGTTACATGAAATGAATTAATACTGTTGTAATTTCATATAAATTTTTATCTTATTTCTTTAATTTCGTTCTGTTCGCCTCAGAGTATTTTCCTCAATTTTAGTGTTAGCACCGTTATTCAAACTAATGCGAGCTCTGCCAATGCAGCGTTAAGAAAACAGAGTTGGAGAATGTCGACGCATTGCTCAGTTGCTCCATCATTTTGCCTGATTTTTTCAGCAATCCTAATTTAGTGTCCGGATTTAACGGTTAGAAAGAACAAATGCAAAAGAAAATTTTAGACATTTGCCAATTGGATTCGGGAAACAGTATGTGCTTTTACTAGTACTACTGAATGCAATACAACTACGTGCAAAAAAGTACTGCAGCGTGTGGTGGCACCAAAATACTTAACATTGGCATTTTTCAATGGTTTATATACAAGCCGCAACTAATGATAAAGAAGATTAGTGCATTAATTCAACTATTGTATATATATGAACAATGCATTCTTTCTTTTAAACATTTCATTTTATACTGCTGGGATAACTGTCGTACATTTTTTCTTCCGAAACAAGCGAACTTTCCGGATTATTCACCTTGCCCACTTCATCTCGATTCACTTTACTTTTCACTTCTTCCGATTCGTTTTCAATAGAAATTACACTCACGCCAACTGTGTTTTTGTCTTCTCCCAACTCCGGCCGTTCTCCTAGTCCTAATGCAACATTAGTTTCTCTCAGCACCAAGCTCTTGGAGTACCCACTAATATTGTCTCTGTGGTTACCTTTAAAGCCAATCAAAATAATAATAAAATAATAATATGAGGAATGTCAATGCCATACCCTGGGTTATCTGCTTATTTACTGGGAACTTAGACGTATGGGGAAAATTATTATTCACCTTCACATCTTGATGTAGGATTTCTTGGATGCTTATGGAAGCAAAAATGTCATCGTCGTCTTCATTCCAATCATAATTGTTACATATCTCCGTTTTACACTGATTAGATGGCGCCAAAGTTGAAAAATTTTGGATTAACTTAAATTAACTTAAATGTTGTCTCTTCACAAATTTTAAAAACAACTTACTTTGATTGTTGTAAGTGTCCTCTTTCTCGATATCGTCATAACCTCGGTCTAAAGCTTTTCCTAAAAATAATGTACAAAGTTAGGGTTGTTAAAAAAAGCCTATAAAGAGCCACTTACTTTCCGGTGTAGGATCGTATAAAAGAGTTAGTTTTGCCTTTTCTCTAAATTCACGGCTGTAGTTTTTTTTGGTTATATTGCAGAAATAGTTTATTTTCATGACTTTTTCAACATTTTTTCCCAAAACCATTCGACAAGCAGCCAAAAAATAAAACCAAATAATAATTATTAATAATTAGAATCACAAGAAAAACTTTGTAACTTATGATCCAAGAAGTTAATACTAATCTGACTGTTCGATACTTGCCCTCTTTCTTTCAAATCGGATTGTAAGCTGATAAGAGGGCTTCCAGAAACCACAGTTTCTAGTCTAATTTCCAAATGCATAGTCATTTGATGCAGTTCTGTTAATTGATTGGCCTCCTTTTGGGCGATATCACTCGTCGCTGCAGGTGATTGAGGCTTTTTCTTTTCCTGAGGTGTCGAAAGTGGCGTTGTCATGCTAACATCTTTAACTTTAGTTAAGTTCATGCCAAGAGAGAATCTAGAACTATCTTCGAGGACATTGCGTCTGCACCATTTTCTTTGCTTGACAAAATGCGAGCTACTGTTTCTGTTCTGTTTCCCATTAGTTTTTTTCAAAAACGACATTCTAAATAATTTCACATGAATATGATGAATTTTTTCCTCTTGTTTCTTAGAAAATACAATTTATTGCGCAGTATTTTTGAGCATATCAAAACTTACAAATGGGGATCGTGAAAATGAACAAGAACAATGAAAATTGCCGTTAAGTAACGCTTTTTATTTTTGTGCCTTTTCATTAGTGTTGTTAAGCTACAAATGCGTTGCCACTTCTAAGATCGTAAAAATTTAATACAAAAAACGCTATAGCGCATCTGCTATGGAACAAATTAAGAAGTGAATTAGGAATTTGAAAATAAAAAAAAAAAAAAAAAACAAAGACGGAACTTACAATCTTAGTTTATAGACTTTTATTATTATTCATTTGAAACTTACATTTAACCTTTTTTAAGATTTTAACTTTTTATTACTTTGTAGTATTGTGTTATTTTCTAAATATTGTAAATTTTTTTTGTCAATAAATCGAATTCCAAAAAAAAATCTTTTTTTTTTTTAAATTTAGCGAATAAAGTTTAAAAACACACACTTATTTCCGTCATTGATTTGTGAAAAAAATTTTAAATTAAACTTGCGAATCACAACTTTAAAAACAAAATCTGGAAGTAAAATGGTTATCACAATAAACAGTTTGCGGGGCCAACTAATGTCGTTGATGAATGTTTCTGAAACCCACAAAGAACAAGCTGATCGATATAGACAACTTCTCGAGGTTGTGTTGACAATTTCAGGTGACGAACTCGTAGACAGCTGAAGCTATTTGTAGAAGCGATAGTCTATGAGCATGTCAGCCTAGTGATATCTCGCCAAATATTAAACGATGTGGGTGTACAATTAGCCAGGCTGCCGGATGAAGTATCTAAGCAAGTATCACATTCCGTATTCAAAATTGACTAGAAATCTTATTCACGTTTATTGTGTTACCGCAGAATAGAAGCGACGAGGCTGGTTTACAAATTTCTGAAAAGAAAAATATTCAACGATTTTTCGTTGAAGTTTATAAGAATTGTTCCGTTATGAGGTAATTTGCTATCTAAAAATGACAAGCATACCAAATGCCACCGATTTGCCATAACCATTATTAGATTTTTCCTTCAACCAATATCATATTTAGCCGTTTGACGTTCATGATACGACACACAGCACCCTTCAAAAAAAATAAAAAGCAATAGCACTCCGGTATATATCAAAGCAATTATATTAATTTCATAAATGACTAAATAAATATTAAACTGTTAATATACGTCGAATAAAACACGTGCCTCGACGCTCTTGTACAATTTCCTGAAGGGCTGCAAGAGAAAAGCTACTGAGGCTGCAAGTCGCCGGCAGTCGCATCGTCCAAAACGCGCCCGACTGGCCGAAAAGGACGACTTTGCACCGGTCTATGACGAGAGCTACGACGGACCATCTACATTAGCTCAGTCAAACCAGTCAAAATTCGCTCAACTGAGTGAAAAGGACAGGATTGTACAGATCCATTTTGACGAGGTATACATCAACCACGAGACGGTGTACTCGCGAACAGATAACGAACTGCGGGGTTGCGGCTATTCGAACCAAAAAAAAACAAAAACATTGGAACACCATAGTGTATTGGTCTTCGCAGCACGCAGTCTACTCACTCCCTTTAATGTAGTGTTGAAAAGCTATCCCCGCACAATAGGCCAAACAAAAATGGGACCGGCTTTAGAAGAAAACATCAAAGCGGCTGAAGAGTTGGGGCTGGACATGAGAGCTGTCGTCTGCGACCGAAATTCGGCAAATACACAGCATACCCGATTATTTGGAAAAAACAATATATACAATAGAAAGCCGGCAGACGGCAGCACACATTCCATCCGGCTTTTGTTCGATTATCCCCATCTAGAAACTGCAATTATAAAAAATATAGAAGACAACAAAGACCATTTTGATCTGAATGTACTGTCTATAGTGTCACAAATGCGACCAAAAAATGATTCTTACTGGCAACGAAGAGGCTGGATGCCGGCCTACAGCAAGGGATGGAAGACGGCCGTTTCAAAGCAGGTGATGAGCGCAGGTCGCAACACTACAAGTGGCAATCGACAATGATGAAATCGAGGATACTGACGGAAAAGCGCAAGCAGTCTGCGACTTAACCCCGATAATTACGAAGTTCGTAAACGTCTTTCATCGGGAAATGATCAGCAGCGAAACTTGGCCAGAGCTAAAAGAACAACTAAAAGACGTAGAAGAATACTTACAGAGCAAATTTATTG